GAAGAGCGCTGGTTGGCAGGGAGTCAGTCTACCTGCAGCTGGGGACTGTGAAGAGCGCTGGTTGGCAGGGAGTCAGTCTACCTGCAGCTGGGGACCAGTTAAGGGAGCCTGCAGGCAGAGAGTCAGTCTACCTATCACTGGGGACCGGTTAAGAGCACCAGTTGGCAGGGAGTTAGTCTACCTATAGCTGGGGACTGTTAAGAGCGCTGGTTGGCAGCAATCAGCCTATTTGTAGCTGGGGACTGTTAAGAGTGCTGGTTGGCAGGGAGTCAGCGTACCTGTAGCTGGGGACCGGGTCTCCATGAGCTTCACAACTCAGGGCTACCTTCTTTTCTTCAGAATCAGTTGGGAAAATGATATCATCTGGCTCCTGCACGAACACTGGCCCGTAGTCCACGCTTTCTGTGGGAAGCACAAAGGTCAGGCCTCAAGACTCATCAAAATAGCAAGCCTGGTCCAGCCCCTTGATTAATATCAAAGAACCTGGCTCTCTCTTCATCATAAGTAGGCAAACTTCCAAAAGCAGAAACAGCTAACAAATTACATGTTTCAGTAAATGGTAGGAACTTAAATAATAGAGGACAAACATCTAGACTATTTATGCATTACTATATATACATATATATATATATATATATATACCCACCTATTATAAAACCATTGCCTTTATGTTTCATATTCTATAGCAGACCTAAGGAAGATAATACTAAAAGCAAACATTTCCTAACCACATATCCAGTACTAATAGAGAATTTAGTATATATACTGAGCAACCCTAGAATAGGGGCTACAGAAATATCTGATGACAGAAACAGAGTGTGGATGGGGTCCTAGCTTCGGGGTCTAACAGACATGGTGTGGCCCACATATCTACCAAGTAACAGACATGGCGTGGCCTACATATCTACCAAGTAACAGACATGGCGTGGCCTACATATCTACCAAGTAACAGACATGGCGTGGCCTACGTATCTACCAAGTAAGCATGCCTGGCGAGTGGGTCACACTCCAGTCTTCGTGCAGGGAGACATGGAGGGCTGAACTTCTGATTATTCAGGAGCTGTGCACGCAGCAGGACGGACTGTGATCAGTACAGCAAGCCAGAGATCAGCAGGCTGGGAACAGGGTGGCCACGGTTAGAAGTCCCGTTCCACTCATCCTGGCATCCACTCTGCAGAAGTGCGGTCCCTGCAGCTGTCCTGGGCCGAGGCGGGCTTCGACCCACGCAGGCCCCAGCTGTCTGCCCAGCTTCTCCCCAAGGAACTCTCACCAGGCTGGGGTCCTCTGTGTTCTTCTACCACTTTCCTCAGCCTTGTTCTGTCTTTGTTGCCGAGGCTGCACTATGCTCAGTCTGTAGCACGTTTCTGTCCGTGTGTTGTTATTAGAGTCACTTTATGTAAGTGATACGCTCCACGCACGAGGCTCTGCGTAGGCACACCCCGCTTCATCAGTGGCTGATAGGACGCTCTTCATGTATGCCTCTTCCGATGGACTGATGAGTGTCTCCCAGTTTTGCTTCTAAGGATACTCTGCAGTGAGCTGTGGGAACCTATCTTCTCACTGTATACTAGTTGGACAGTGTTGCCAAGCTTCAAAACCAGAAGTAGATGGCTTCCCCAGATTGCTCTGAAAACTCGCTCGTGTTTCTCAGACAAACCCGTGCTCTACCTGTGGCACTTCCTGAGGCACTTCCTGTGGTACTTCCTGTGTCATTTCCTGTGGCACCTCTTCCTGAGGCACTTCCTGTGGTCCTTCCTGTGGCACCTCTTCCTGTGGTACTTCCTGTGGTCCTTCTTCCTGTGGCACTTCCTGAGGCACTTCCTGTGGCACCTCTTCCTGTGGTACTTCCTGTGGTCCTTCTTCCTGTGGCACTTCCTGAGGCACTTCCTGTGGCACTTCCTGTGGTACTTCCTGTGGTTCTTCTTCCTGTGGTACTTCCTATGGTCCTTCTTCCTGTGGCACTTCCTGAGGCACTTCCTGTGGTCCTTCTTCCTGTGGTCCTTCTTCCTGAGGCACTTCCTATGGTCCTTCTTCCTGTGGTCCTTCTTCCTGTGGCACTTCCTGAGGTACTTCCTGTGGTCCTTCTTCCTGTGGTCCTTCTTCCTGAGGTACTTCCTGTGGTCCTTCTTCCTGTGGTACTTCCTGTGGTCCTTCTTCCTGTGGCACTTCCTGTGGCACTTCCTGTGGTCCTTCTTCCTGTGGCACTTCCTGAGGCACTTCTTCCTGTGGCACTTCCTGTGGCACTTCCTGTGGTCCTTCTTCCTGTGGCACTTCCTGAGGCACTTCTTCCTGTGGCACTTCCTGAGGTACTTCCTGTGGTACTTCTTCCTGTGGTCCTTCCTATGTCATTTCCTGAGGCACTTCCTGTGGTCCTTCTTCCTGTGGCACTTCCTGAGGC